TCTTTTCATTTCGTTCTGTCATGATAGTTTCAGCTTCGCTCAAATTCAAACCTGAAACGACATTTAAGGGTGAACTTACACTAAAATTGCATCTGAATGCATCCGCAATATCCTTGTGATCATAAGCACCCCCAACACTCACTGGAAGACTCGGCTTAACATTCATTTTGTTTGTCTTCTTCCAGAAGCTTTTAAAGTCTTTAGAAGAGTGATTTGTCACAATAATATCCATCTTCAGCTGTTCTTGTCTGTTTTGACACCATTTTAATTTGGCTTTAAAATGCTTTCTAGATTCTGACATCTCTTCAAATACGCGATCCCTGGACGGCTGCCCAGCCATCATCCACTCTTGAAATTTAAGCCGCGCCTCCCGATGTGGGCCCGCGACGTGCTTATTCCACCCCGTCACGTAACCTCCCTTTTTTCTACATGTATTCCTATATGTACGAATTGCTGCCAGTGATAGTATATTTATAATATTACCGTACATAAGTACAGCGTGATGTTCCTTGTTACTACGAAATGTATCACAACAGTCTCTGAGTTCCTCTGGAAGATCTATAATTCTCAAGTTTGTGTGACAAAAATCGTGATACAGTTTTATCTGTTGTGGAGTCCTGTTGCCCCAAGTAACACGGTTCACATGTTTCCCCAATACCTGCTCCACAACCTTAGGCTTAAGTTTATTTAAATTACATTCCACCACAAGTGGGTAGTGGTCTGACCAAAATACATCATAATTAACAGACACGCGCTTACTACTGTTTCACGCGCAGAATGAGTGACTATGCAGTGGCCAGCCACCTGTTACAACCATGAGCCTCACTATGAAAAGTAAATGTATTTTTATCACACATACTTGCGTCCACACAGATCCAGCTCTCTTCATTACAAAAATCTATCATTTCATTATAAAATAATTCCCTAGGATGAGCATTAAAGTCCCCTAGTATATAAAAAAGCCATTAAATAAAAAAAAAATCCCTTATTTTCCTCTATTTCTATTATCGATCGTATCGAACCGAGATACCTACAGAACTCAGGTAAGTTTTCATAAGAGTTTGTGGGCATATATACACTAAATAAAACTAAAGATCTACTACTCACAGTTACTTTTATGGCACAGATTCGCACGTTGTCACACTCTATCACTGACACTGATTCAAACACATTTTTACGCCACAATATTGCAACTCCACCATAAGGCCTTTCACTCACTAGGCCTCCCTCCGTGTCCACCGCAGATGTGCCTGTGGACTCAAATTCTTCACTGATCGTGCTGAGAAATGATAAATCATGTGGAAGAATCCACGTTTCCTGGAGGCACAACACGTCGGCTGACCGGCACAACTCTCTTACACCTTCCGCTGACCTCTTGATCGATTTACAGTTGAAACTTACAATTTTACTAAGATTATCCATATATTTATTAATTTTTATCGAATATGAATTAATACATATATAATATGTATTTTTATTGAAATGTGTTTAGTATATTCAATATATTAATTTATTATCTAAATTATTTATTTCTTTCAAAATGTATGTAGTATATGTAGCACGTATTTATTATTCAGTATGTTCAACTGTCCTGTTTATTTTGTTCCTTATTATTGATTTTACCTTTTTGTTTATCGTAAAAATTCACAAAACGACGAAACGTTATGCCTGATGGCCACAGTTTATCATCTAGGAATGTCTCAATTTTATGCTTAGATACCAAGACCTTATAGGCATCATACCCTTTCTGCCGTCTCATATTGATTTTCACCAGTGAAACCTTTTCATGCGTTTTGTTATACACATAATCAATAATATCCTGCCCTGATACCTCCTTGGCAACATTGGAGATGAACAGAGGCACCTTTATATCCGCTGCCCTAAACTTTTGACTAGTTGATTCAGACTCAATGGCACAGCCTCTTTGACTAGTAAAGCGGTTTCTAAGCCTACGTTTTTGGTAAAAAACCCACCCCTCGTTTTTTTCAGGCTCTTTCCATTCGCCATCTTTCCTTACCATATCCGAGAAAGACGCAATTTTTCCATTTTTAACATCAGTTTCAGCCTGATTGATATTATTACCGTAATACACCGGGCTACACTGATGCTCAGGCGATCTAGTCATCGCAACTAGGCCCTGTTGCTCTTCCTCAGAGCCCGCATGTACCATCTCATGATCGATTTTTGACTCATTCACGCGCTCGGATGCTTGCGCAGGAGCCGTTTGCAATTCCTCGCTCACACTCGCTAAACTCGCGGGCGAGCGGTTGTTTGAGTGGTAAGATGAATTACCCTCCTTACGCGAGTGAGACGCGCATTCGTCAAAGTAAGTTGAAATTGCCATGGGACCACTATCAAAATAACTAACACCACCGCCTCTCTTCATATTTACATTATTTTGGCTCGTATGCACGCAAGTACTTTTACAGTATTCGGTTAATTGATTATTAAGATCCTTTTTCGTAACATAGTCGCTTTGAATGCGTTGAACAGAACTTTCTAACACTAATATTTTCTTAAGTATAGGCGTAACATCTACATGATTAAATGTGACGGGAGGCAGCTTTTCCAACTGCCTTGCCACGAAAATTGGGACCTGATCAGGGTCTGTTTCCGTGATCAGGTCCCTTTGTAAGTAGACAAATTATGTCTTCAATGTTCCGTAGAGTTTTACCTTTTCGTTTTCTCACTTTCAGCTGCTTACCCACAGATTCAAACAATAACGACTTTGCCTTTTCAATCTCATCCAAATTAAAAGCACTTTCACATATTTGAATTAGGCTCTCTTCATCCATTATGTCCAGCTTATTTGGACGAATGCTAACACTTCACAAATAACGATATTACAATTAGAACATTTTAATATTTTCGACACGTTATCCATCATCGTGGCCAGGCCAGTGACCTTGCGTGCGCTCGCGTTCACGGACAGCGCCGGACTGACGCTGACGGACGACTAATACGGACTAATACGACGGAATATTGTTGGATTGAAACTTTAAATATATTCTTTAATTATGTTTTTGTCTAACAATATTATACGTTCGTAGCTTCCTCGTTTGTCTCTTTGGTCATCAACTTCCTTACTGAGTGCCAAATTAATGTATCTATTAGTTGTTGGCTAATATCAAAGTGTTGTGAGAAGAACAACCTGACAAACTTCACATTTTGATAAAATGCATTTCTTTCTTTGACGGTTATACTGTGCATTTTTTCGGATTTTTACGGTATATGGTTCAACCATCACTTTTATAAAAAAAAACCCTCTTGATTCCCAATTTTAAATTTATGTACCGATTGTGGAAATCTGTTCAAATTTTTTCTGCAAACTATGTCATACACTTTTTTCCACATTAATCATCACATAGTGGTAATAATTCTAACTCTGCGTCAGCGCTTTCTTTCTTCTGTTTGTTGCGTTGTCTCAATGGAATATTAAATGCACACCTTTTCCTTGGTAGACCTCATTTGGTAAATCCTTTTTGATTTGCAGGTAATATTGATGGTGACTCTACTTGAGACGCGTAAACCGAACAAGAAAGAAGGGGATTTCTGTTCAGTATACACATCTTCAATTTCATTTTCTAGTCCATCAGTGACACATTCTCCTTCTTTCCTTTTTTTGTTTTATTTAATTTCTGGTGTAGCAATTAATCATCTTTGAGGTCAAAAGTGCTAGGCATTAGGCACTATACCTATGTCCAGTGATAACATCAAGCATTTGGTCCTTCAATGTATTTTTTGAAAATCAGATAAAGCATCTGATCCATTATTTTAGTCTCCATGATTGTCTTCAGATGTTATTTTATGATTAATTGTTAATTTTTGCATTAAGTTTTATATTTGTTGTACTAGTTTCATTTAAGGTGTAAAAATCATAGTCAGCATTCATGGAAAAATCAAGTAAATATTCCTTGTTTTTGACGCTATCGGCGGAGTCCTCAAACATGATAACTTTACTATTGTCACAATCATATGTGGTAAAGTCATACTGCAGCTATGTTAGTAGTATAGTTGTGGCAGGAATGGGTTGGCTCGACTGAGGAAGGACCACAATCTCACGGAATACCGGCGTAAAATAGCAGCTTAGCGCTGCTGTGTTTCGTATGGTGAGTGTAGAGAACCGGAGACCATTTTTACTGGAAAGGAGGCATTCCATCTTAGTCCTCGCTGGTGACAACGCATTTGCATTTTGTTTCGTAATCGAGGATAGATGTAGATGTCTATGGGCCACAGCAACCACTTACCATCAGGTGGACTGTGTGCTCGTTTGTCACCTTTCTCCTATAAATGAAATCATCTTCGCCGTGCAATGGAAGAATTTAAGTCATTTTAAAGAATTAAGTGTAACAAACTGTTCTCTTTCTAGAGTTTTAGAAACCGGAATATTAAGATCAATATCCCAAACCACATTAAAATAATTACTAAATTCATTTCAGAAATCAAAAACGCCCCTTGGCACCTCTTTACAACACATAGCCGCTATAACTCGAAGACAAATTGTGATTTAGTATTTATAGCCATTCAAATCCTGTCTGTTTTTCCTTCAAAAAATTGCAATAACTTTCTTTGTTATTATTAGAATTTATCAACTTAAAATTTTAAATAAAAAGATTAGTTAACATATCTGCAATAACTTTTACTTGTTGCGCTTATGACTAGTAAATGTGTCCTAAATTGAAAAAAATGCACTAGTCATAAGTGCAATAACTGGACTTATTGCGGTAATCTATAGAAATATCACAAAATATTATAGCTTACCATGCCATAACTTAAGTTATTTCGTTCATGATATGCAACATACAAATGGTACTATTAGATATTGCAGTTATGCTTAACAAAATAACCGAATCTACCGTTAATACAAAAAAGACGTCTAAGAAGATAATATAGAGCTCATTTTCCTGATTACAGATATGTACTTAAGTCAGAAAGCCCAAAAACTCGAGTTATTGCACTTATCGTAAGGACGGCAGATTAATGGATGGAATAGATAATACCATGGACCCTCCTGCAAGCAACTGCTCCAGAACTGCATTTGACTCAATAGCCTGTTGTTGCAATCTCCTGCAACGAACGAGTCTTGCATGACAGATGAAACAGACAATTATGGGGTCCTCATCTTCATCCATCTGAAAATATGAAAGTTTGTCATAAATATGGAAAACTACTTAAATATACAATTTTGTAATAAAATATATTGGCCACCACAACTCTTTTCTTCAACATCATTTTCTGCAACAAACTTCAAGCAAAGGCTACAGACGCGATGTTACCTCTGAGGACTAAGATGTAATGCTTCACAGCCTACTACTATATACTGGCTCTCAATGTCCTTCAGGCGGGACACAAACTGTGTAAAATCAACTGCAGTATAAAGTAAGTTCCAGATAAGTTTGGACATCCAACAATTAAATTATTTTATTTCGTATGGATATGGGCAGCAGCATTTTGCACATAACAGGTCAGAATCATTAACCAAACTGCAGTTGCCAACCCGCCTAGCCTAGGGTGGCAACTGTGGTAAATAATAATAACACCAAAATGATTCTTAAAATTTATAAAACATATTATTTATTATTATTTATACATAAACACACTAGCAGCTAAAAAAGCTGGTGCGTGTGCATCTTAATGTTTGGAGATTTTATCCAATCCGTTCTTGAAGGCGTTCAATGTAGGAGCATCAATCACATTTTATGGTAGCTTATTCCACTCAGTGACAACACGGTTTGTTATAAAATTCTTCATGGGATTCCGCTTGGCAGTCCTATGGCAAAGTTTAAGTTGATGTCCTCTCAGACGTTTGTTGCTATTTAGTAAGTACAAATTCGGCAGAGTAGGAACATTGTAATATCCTGTCAGTATTTTGTATGTTTCAATCAGACTACCTCTCTGCCTCATGGTGTTGTGAGGTTAAGCTTTCTCATTCGCTGCTCATATGTCATGTTCCGCAGTTGTTGTACCATTTTTGTGGCCCTCCTTTGAACATTCTCCAGTATTATTATATCTTTACGAAAATACGGGTCCCATATCACATATGCAAACTCCAAAAGAGGTCTTAAGTACGTTCGGTAGATCTTGTTAAATATTTTAGGAGTGAGACACATAAAGCTTTTTCGAATCATATACATCATGGAGTTTGCCTTTTTTACTATGTTAAGGATATGAGTTTCCCATTTGAGGTCACTGGTTATTGTAATGCCAAGGTCTTTTTGTGATTCAACAGAAGACAATGGGTGATCACCTAGATAATATGTATTTCGTGGATTATTTTTCCCTATATGTAGAACCGTACACTTGCCTGCGTTCAGTATTAGGAGCCAATCACTAGTCCAATCGTAGATGGCATTTAGATCCTGTTGTATAACTTGATGTTGCGTAACATGGTTCCCAAAAAATTTTGTGTCATCGGCAAATAATGAGAACGGTAGCTATAACATGCTCTTCAAATCCGATAAATATAGGATAAATAATAATGGTCCAAGAACAGATCCCTGCGGAACTCCACTGTGTACTTCCCTGGGTTTAAACAACTCTTACGCAGAATGTTCTGTCTGACAGAAAATCACTGATTCAGGCCAACAATTTCCCGCGTATACCAAAGTGTTTTAATTTGCATATAAGTCGCCTTAATGGCACACGGTCAAAAGCTTTTTCATAGTCAAGATATATCACATCTGTAGGTATTCCATTGTCATGGTTTGAGACCCATTCATTAACACATTGTAACATATTTGTAATGATTGATCGCTTTGGTACAAACCCGTGCTGTTCATCTAAAATCAGTTGTTCTTGTAATAGGAATTCTCTTAATCTTTCAGTTATGATCTTTTCCATGGCTTTACAGAGGATACTTGTCAAACTTATTGGTCTGTAATAACTAGGTCTCATCTTATCGCCGTTTTTATAAATAGGTACATTCAACCTATTTTGGAATATACATTCCAAATCATACTGAGTTACTGGAGAGGTTAAACACAGATATTCAAGTTCTTAGAGCATTGAAAACATGAGGAAAGTCTGAAAACACTTAAACTTACAACTCTGGAAGATCACAGAAAATGAGGAGACTTGATGAAACCACAATACTTGGACACTATAATCTAGAAATGTTTGACAAACTATTATTCCAGTACCCCATTAACACACATCTTAGAGGCATCACTTCAAATTGACTAAAGCCAGATTGCAAAATTACCAAAAAGTGGTTGAAGTATGAAACTAGTTGCTATCAAAAGTGATATTATCACAAATCATTAACCAATTTTAGAACAGATTGGATAAACAAATAAAATAAAACAACTAAAAGTTTGAAACCAGAACAATGCAAAATAGATTATTGAACATAAAAGTTAAAGTTACAGCCTATATATTTCCCACAGCTGAGCATAGGCCTCCCCTCATTTTTGAGAGGGTTTTTAGGCCAAGGAAGTGTCCACCGCGCTGCCCCAATGCATGTTGGCGAACTTCACATGTCTTCAAAATATTTTGTCGATGTTTTCCTTCACCGCCAAGCACATGGTAAATCAACACTTAAAATTGCAGATGTGAGTAACACAGGTTCGATTCCAGTGGGGATCGAACTCGTATTCTGTTATATTTACAGCGAGCGTTAACCATCTGAGCTACCACAGCTCTAGTTTTAGGGAGTTTATTAAACATATTTAAATTCAAAATGCAAATGCTTAATTATTTTTTCAATGAAAATATTTAAAAATATAAAATGCAAAATATGTATTCAAAATAGATATTTTAAATAAAATGCCATATTTCATTGATTTTGACACTAGTTTTTGTTCAAAGACGTATAGTATACGTTGACGACTACGTGGCATAGTGGCTTATCAATGAGTGGCTGCGCTGGGGGTCGCGGGTTCGAATCCCACATGGAACAAGTATTTGTATGGCCTACAAATAACTGTTTCGGGTCTGGATGTTTGTGCTTGTGCAATTTATGTTTGTAAACTGCCCCCACGATACAAGAGAAAATCCTAGTGTAGGGGTAACATTTAAAAAAAAAAAGAGTTGATCTTTCATATTCCATCTATGTGGCCCCTCATAATCATTCCACCAAACAAAATCAGTTGTTCTAAAAGGTGCAGTACTTGGTAAGCAAGTATTATAGTTAAGAAATAGCTTTTGAATATGTATGTGTAATGAGTATGACTTTTTTTATATCAAGGATCACTTAATTTTATCATTGGTTGTTTTGTTTGCTATCCAACTGCAGAGAGGTGTAAGACAGGGTGATGTTATATCCCCGAAACTCTTCACCGCTGCGTTGGAAGACGTTTTCAAGCTACTGGAATGGAAAGGATACGGTATTAACATCAATGGCGAGTACATCACTCACCTTCGATTTGCCGACGATATAGTCGTTATGGCAGAATCGCTGGAGGACTTAAGCATTATGCTCAATGACCTCAATAGTGCCTCCCAACGGATAGGTCTTAGGGTGAACATGGACAAAACAAAGATCATGTTTAATGTCCATGTCACACCTATGCCGGTAGTTGTTGGGAGCACTATGCTCGAAGTTATTGACGAGTACGTTTACCTGGGACAAATAGTCCGACTAGGTAAGTCCAACTTCGACCGAGAGGTCAATCAACGGATTCAACTCGGCTGGGCAGCGTTCGGGAAATTACGACATATCTTTTCGTCAGGTATACCTCAATCTCTAAAAACTAGATTGTACAACCAGTGCGTGTTGCCAGTGATGACTTACGGATCTGAGACGTGGTCCTTCACTGCTGGCCATATGAGGACGCTTAAGGTCGCTCAGCGAGCTATGGAGAGGGCTATGCTTGGAGTTTCTCTGCGTGATAGACTCAGAAATGAGGATATCCGCAGTAAAACCAGAGTGACCGACATAGCCCAACGGATTAGTAAGCTGAAGTGGCAATGGGCCGGCCATATAGCTCGAAGAACCGATAACCGATGGGGAAGAAAGGTTTTCGAGTGGCAGCCTCGTACCGGTAGGCGTAGTGTAGGGCGACCCCCCACTAGATGGAGTGACGACCTGGTAAGACATGCAGGAAGTCGATGGATGCAGGTGGCTCAGGACCGTGCTTTGTGGCATTACTTGGGGGAGGCCTATGTTCAGCAGTGGACTTGTGAAGGGCTGTAATGAAGATGATGATGATGATGTTTTGTTTGACATTGACAAATACACAGAAACTATTCCAAGCCAAGCTTCAGTTTCAAGAGTTTGTTTGACTTGCAATGTTGGCATTATTATTGTTGTCCCCAACGTTTAGAATGGCTAGCTTATATAACACTCCAGTACACGCGCTTAAAATAGTGACACGATTCCACGCGCGGCGCACAATTGTGGCCCAAAATATTGTGATTTTTTTAGTAACATAGGAATAGAAATAAAATATTATAGTTTTTATATATAATCAGCCTTTATTGACTTATCAAAAAACAACAAAAAAATAGACACTTCTGTACTAAAACAAAAAATAAAAAGTATTTGGCTTCATACTGATAAAACTAAAGAAAAATGGCACTTATACTTATAATTAAGATTTTTGACATAATCCGACTATTCTTTGGGCTCGGTTACATATTTATTATAACAACCAAGGCATACAGGATATTTATGGTCATTGCACACAGGCTTCTGACACTTCTGGCAAAATGTTCTGGTCGATCTATCTTTGGCTCTTCCGCAGTCGTAACATCTGGCTGTTTTGGTTCTCTTTTTTGGTATAACTTCATCTTCAGGCACTAAATTACTCTCTTTTACTTCTAAAAACATCATGATCTTCTCCTTGATAGTCCGAGGTAAGTTTTTAGTCATAAGTCTCTGTCGCATTTGAGCCTTTATAAGTTCTATAGCCACCGAACGTAAGTAGTCGCGTCGAGATTTGCGCTGGTAATTGTGATTGACCATTGTGTCAATTATCATGCCATTGATGCCAGCGATATTTACCATGTCAAAAAATAGGGTGAGGGGCCAACGTCTACTATTTCGTGCTACACTGAAATGCTTGCACATTTTATCTAAAACGTCAACACCACATTTTGTCCTGTTGTACTCAGTAATTATTTCAGGTTTTCTTTTCTCAGCGGTAGAAAGATCAATCGTACCATCATTGTGCATGGTTGATGCCACTAAAACTACTTTTTTTTGGTTTTGGTACGTAAGACACTAAAGTGCATTTCTTTTGGAAACCAAATAAGGAGTCGTTGATGGGTCTACCTTTGGATGATTTGAAATTGAGTGGAATGTCAGGTTTGTTAGATTTCAGTGTCCCAATAGCAGTAATCTTCTTCATTTCTAGTTCCATCAACAACGGTATACTGGTAAACCAGTTGTCCATGGTCACATTGCTTCCCATACCTTCGAGAGGCTTTAACATTCTGTGAACAATGTCTTTCACTTTGTTGGAGACCTGAAAAGGTCCAGGAGGTTGAGCACCGGCATAAATTTCTAAGTTGTATGCATAAGGAAACGTAACATCTACTAAGGCAAAAAGTTTAAGACCATACTTGTCTGGTTTGTTGGGAATAAACATCCGGAAACCACAACGTCCTCTAAATGCCACAAGTTGCTCATCTAGAGTGAGATACTCACTCGGTGTATAATACTTTTGTAGGTTCGATACAAAAATGTCAAAAATTTGTCTGATAGGAGCGAGTTTATCAATTTCCTTTCTGGAATCTCTTGTATGGATGTCATCAAATCGAATGCACTTTAGCAAAAAGGCAAATCGATTTTGAGACATTGTGAGATAAATAGCCTCCACTGCAGTTCCAAACCTATTGTCCCAAAAATCTTTCAGTATTCTTCGACCACTTTTTTCTACACCCATTGAGTAACATCCCAATCATTGCCCTGATTTCAGTATAGTCTGTATTCTTGGCATCTCTTTGTCTTTGGTATTTTGTTTTTATTTTGTCGATATATATATTTGTACATCTTGTAATAATATCTATTGTCTCCTCATTAAAATATAATTCAAAACAAGAGATTGGAGTTTTGCAAGCTGAAGCGTCATTTTTGGGGCCACAAATACGACTACGAATGTTCGACGCTTGGGATCGGACGCTAGTTCTGTATGGTGTGGCCTGCCATTCAAGACCTGACTTAGATTTGTAAATCCTTAAATTGGCCAATGGAACATCCTCGTCTGAGCTTGACTCTGATAACGGCTGCAATGCAGATGGAGTATCTGGGATTATCTGTTCCCCTACATCGCTTTCTTGCTCCGACTCAGAATCGTGTCTTTCTTCTAAACAACAATCTTCTTCATCTTCGCTACTCGGCAGGTCCTCCAAATCATTCTCCTCCTCTTCATCCGTCTCTTCCAACCATCTAGCTACATGTTGTGACTGTGCATCCATCTTAGCAGATAATCAGACAAACTTTACAAGATAAAATACCTAAAACAAGAAAAATGTCCAATTTAATTACGAAAATCATACCACCAATAAAGAAAAATAAAAACAGTAATATGAATTTAACAAATTTACACAGATTTTTAACATAATTATCTTGAAAATAATAAAAAAAAACATAATAAATACCAAATAAGCCGCGTACCACTAGTTACGTAATTACACGCGTGGGGCACAGGCGTGCCCCAAAGATGCATAAACACTTACACAGAGCACGTCCGAGCGCCGGCACAGTCGACGCGTCACTGACGCTCACGCGAAGATATATGCAACAGCTACTTAAAAAATCAAAATCCTGGCTGTTAAGTTTTGTGATTTACAGACAAAAATATGCAGCTGGGGCACGCCTGTGCCCCGCGCGTGTAACGGAGTGATAAATAATTTTCAACGAAAGATTGAAAATATTAAAAATTTTACAAAACCATGTTGCATTTTACAATGTATTAAATATTAATACAAAGTGTTGCAAATAAAATACAAAATGGATTTTGAAGAAAAAAGGATATCAAATGCAATATTAAAATAGGTATATTGCAGTTTGTATTTGCATTTTAAATACATGTAATTCCATTATTTCATAAGCTAACAGTCCATCCGATGGCAAGCAAATACTGTGGCCATAGACATCTACATTCATCCCCAATTAATTGTCACCCCTCAGGATCAAGACGGAATGCCTCACTACCTACCAGTATATAGGGTCTCCCATTCTCTACACTCACCATTGGAACATTAAGCTGCTATTTTACGTTGGTATTCTGTGAGCACATAGTAACACCCCCAACAATGATAATAATCTCCTACAGACAGCATTTGGTCACAACAGAGACTATACATCAGTGCAGGACAGGATTATATTGCATGTGTGTGTAAGCAAGCACATGTGAAGATTTCCTATATTTATTTATTTAAATGTGCAGATTATTCCCTCTTCTGATTTCTGTCTGATAGGAATATGAGAAATATGAGAGAATTTCTGTGCACTGTTAATCTCCCGGTTTAAAAGTCTGATAGAACTGCTATAAGTGGATGAAACACCAAACTAAGGTGGATGTTAATTCTTTGGAAGAAATTCACAATAATACTCATTGAAGTAACATGTACTAGAACAGACACCGCGAACAAATCTATGCAGCAGTGCGAGTCGCTTGGAAGGAGGCAACAGACTCGGTAAGTTTGAGCCCGCAGGCCCCAACGCGTGTTGCAAACACTACGTCTCGTCGTCACTTTTAGTATGTAGTAGAATATCTACTTCAATGATAGTACTGATTATGTGCGGCCCAGGATTCCAAGCTAATTATTATTTTTCAGATTTTGATTGTATTTGACCCTTTATTTAACGTTGCACTTTAGCCTAGCCCCGATCATTTTTCATTCATCGATTTAATATCAGGCAAGTTACAATGTGCGATGACTCCAGCGATAACAAAAATTTACCGCAACTTCATTTGCAATAAAAAAACAAACTGAAGTAAAATCAAACTTACAAACCTCGACGCTTACAAATCTGTTCGTCAATGCTTTATACAAATGTTGGAGTCCAGTCTTCTTTAGTACACACATGCGTATATTTACGCTTAAACAAATTCTACAAATTTCACCAAAGGCCATTCCAGTTTCTTATTGCTTCAATGTAATTGAAATTGAATTCTCTTTTTCAAACCGAAGTTTTCATAAACATTACATAAATAAATATTAGCAAGCTAAACATTAAAATCACCACTGACCATAGATTACTGTATATATACTAGCCACTGACACTGACTTAGAAGTTGAGACTTTTTTTATTAACTGGCCTTACGGCTCTGGGGTCTAGCCCTTCTGAGCCTATCATTTCTTTTTTTTATTTGAATCTTCATTTTTACATATTTTTTCTTCACAATATGCTAATGCGTCATATTGCAAAGTTTTTGGGAGATTGAAATAATACTAGTTTTTACGGAATTTATCGCGTATATTTAACTTTTTAAATACCCGACGTTTCGAGAGCTTTACAGCACCCATCAGGGAATGAAACTGACATACAAATTTACAAGAATAAAAAATGCATTGAGAGTACTGCCCTCTAGTGCAGGTACATAAACTTGTACGCTAGTTTTCTTCAGCGTTGTAGAGATGGCGTTAATTATGCCAAAACACCAGAATCCAAAGCCCAAGAAAAACTAAATCTATGGCAATTTTGGTCTATGGTTGTGGTTGACACGTAAATATTCTACTTTGTTTACAGTTCTTTCAAATAAATTCCGTTATCGTGCTCTTGCTTGCGAAATTACGTTATTGTGTTATTTGAAAATTCTGGACCCGGTTTGCGCTTGTTTCTTGTTTTTGTTTATCTTCTTCGAACGTTTGACCTGATTTATCCCCTGTGCCCGTGTTACCTGCTATTGACGATTGACCCTGCTCTTGCCAACTGGACTCTGCTGCTGCCAACTTATCAACCCTGCTTTTCACTACTGGACTTTGTTTACCGCAACTTGTATAAAATGCCGAGAAAATCAGCAATAAAGTGTTATTTTGGATGTGCGACTGAAGGTATAAGGTATCATTAATCTTTGAAGTTCGAAAATTAAATAAGAGTTCCCCAACAGCGCTTGTGGAACCCTAAAATATTCCTTACCATACTAGTAGCAAATTGGTATTCAATTTATCGTGTCTTGTGTCAATAAAAACTTACTATATAAAAGTTTCAGGTCCTTTTCACCAATTCCCGAAACCAGAATACCCAAATTTGGAGAAATTCGAACAGTGGAAAATGGTTTTGAATGAAGATGTAAAAACAAAAGGAGATTCGTTCATTTTTAACATTATAAGAATATGTGATTGTCACTTTGAGGAATTTTACCGTTCTGCAAGTAAACGACTCACCGGAAATGCAGTACCAACTTTGAACTTATGTAAGTACCTCTAACTTGCTCAAGGCATTTTATACTTCTCTAAATAACAAGCATGACAGAAATATGAAAAGTAAATAAATTTTTAGTCATTTATAGTTTGTACCAAATGTTTGCTTACATTTTTATATAATTATTAAACATCAAGATAAAGCCCGCAACTTGATATGCATGGATTAAGGTATTTTTGATTCCTGTAGGAATAAACTGGCCTTCAAACGAAACTTCTGAGATAAAAACGAGCCTTTGTGAAGCTTTTTTTTTATAGCATAGGGTGACAAACGAGCACACAGTCCACCTGATGGTAAGTGGTTGTTGTGGCCCATAGACATTCACATCTATCTTCGATTATGAATCTAAATGCAGATGCAAAACTAATTGTCGCATTTTTTTAATCAAAAATCCCAAAGCCCCAGATTTCTACAGCAATGGGATTATGTCAGTACCTACAAGATGGCAACAAGTTATCAAACAAAATGGCACATATATGTTATAATTAAATGTAATTAAACTTTGAAAAAAAAAAACGTCTTGAATTTGTGTATAAAATACGAAGAAACTTTTTTCCTGACTATATTTTATATGATATATATATATATATATATATATATGTATTTAAATATACAATACTATATTTTCTATATATACTATTATTGTATTTAATATACAATATTAAAACTTTTAAAAAAACAAACTAGAAACTTAATTATATATAGTCCTACTCCCCGCGGTATTATATATTTTACATATACATATATTTTTTAATTTGTTAATGTATATAAATAAAATTGTTAATTTATTGATACTGCTGTTGAGGGGTTATATTGATATGCACATTGTTCTAATAATGTTTAAACATTAGCTAGCTAACACTTATTAGATCATTGTCATTATCTCAACTCATGGCTCACCTCTCAAAATAAGGGTTATCTTATATATAAACATTAATGTTTATTTGTTCATATTTTATATGCAGCCATACTGTTCATCAGATTGTGCTGAAATTTTGTCAACTTATTGCTTGCGCTTGTGCGAAGGTTGTACAAATAGTGCAATTAATTTACAGTAGGTGGCACATGTATTGCACTGGCAAAAAAGAACAGTCACACCCCATAGAAAAAAAAACCCAGGCCCGACAGAAACGAGACATCTCAGTTTTTTTTATATAGTTAAATTATATATTTTTTATATTGGAAATCAATGGCTAACACCAAAATATCGCCTTATGTTTTTGTTCAGGCGTTAGTCTAAGAAAATACAAAATGGCTATTTATCTACAAAATTCGTTAATGTATGCAACTAAATGACGTTAAAATAGCTATGGGATGTATCTAGGTGACCTGGAGATGCAACTGAATTATGTAATTTTTAAACTACATAATTCAGCTGCATAATATAACAAAAATAATATAACATTTTGTCATAACGTGTTGTGAATGAATTCTGCACCTGATTAAAGTATTATTGTTTCTGACCTCTTCTGCCGCTGGATGTCTGTCGGGTCTGGGTCACAGATGACTGTTCTTCTTTATTTTAAAGATATAGCATTCAACTAAAATGAATATATTATCATTCCTAATTAAACAATATAACTCTTCTACATATAAAACAATATTATTTCACAATTATTTCTTCTGTGGCAGCAACGCACCGGTTACAGCTAGTTTGATATATAAATATAATAGGGTCATAATTATTCAAAGGGCTTATTTGATAGTACAACTTAAAACAAATTTACTGTTTTAATTTTTTAGCTTCAACTTCGCCAATAGTGCTTCAACCATCATCTTCTGTTGAGACTGAAATGGATATTGATATGCAAATAGGAGACAACTTAGAGCCTTTCAAGTTGCCATATCCGAAACAAAAACTACTTCCTAGAGGTAAATATTTTAAAAATACTAATATTTTATTTCAACTAGGTGTATATATATATTCAATATGTGTATATACATGATTGATTATTTCGTGTCTGACCCGGGAGGGTGGGGGGTCCGTTACGCTAGAGGAGTTAGAAGCCATGGAGGAAGACGCGCCCTGTGTTCTTAATGCAGCTTTTCTGAGAAGGAAAAAGGGGAGAAGTCCTGGTACTGAATGTTGGAACATCATTTTTTGTATGTAAAAAAAAGTTACTGCTTGAATATACAAATGTAGAAACAAAAAAATAACTACCATGCTGAGTTGTATTTACAGTAGCTTACATCGAATGGTGGTTAAGGATAGTATGTTTCAGATACGCGTTGGTGATGGCTAACTTAGCAATTTTTTTTGTTTATAGGATAAGGGTGACAAACGAGCACACAGTCCACTTGATGGTAAGTGGTTGCTGCGGTCCATAGACATCTACATCTATCCTCTATTATAAATCAAAATGCAGATGCATTGTTACCCGTGAGGACTAAGATGGAACGCCTCATTTCCAGTAAAAAGGGTCTCCGGTTCTCTACACTTACCATATGAAACACAGCAGCGTTAAGCTGCTATTTTACGCAAGTATTCTGTGAGAGAGTGGTCCTTCTCCGGTCGAGCCGACCCATTCACGCTCCAATTATATTATAAATATAACTGCAGCATGGCTCTACCACAGCAATTCCAGAGGACAATGTAGAGATTTATAAAGGAGAATAATGCTATTAAATCAGTCAGTTTAATAAGTACCAAAAAAATTATAAGTATTGTAACATATTTTTTTTCTATTTTCAGTTAACACTCGAACACTAAAACGTTCCAAAGAATTGAGAACTTTAAAAGCTCGAATTCTGAAATTAAAAAGTAAATGTAAGACATTGAATGAGAGGGTTCGTCAGGCAAAAAAATTGTCACAGAGTCAGGCATTTTTAAATGTTGTAGAAAACCTTCCTGAACCAGCTGCAATATTGGTAAATATGCAACTTAAAAAGTCATCAAAAATGCCAAGAGGTAGGAGATTCAGCATGAAAGAGAAAATTTTATGTTTGACTATATACAAGCAAAGTCAAAAAACATATAACTTCTTGCAAAGGATTTTTGGTTTGCCTTCTAAAAGAACCATGCAAAAAATGTTAAGCAGCATCTCTTTAACTACAGGCATAAACGCGACCATAATGAAACAATTAGCTAAAACTGTGAAAAAGTTGCCTGATGAAAAAAAGCTGTGTACATTAATTTTTGATGAGGTGTCATTGACTCCAGGACTTTATTATCAAAAATCCCTGGATGAAATTATTGGTTTTGAAGATTTTGGGGGACATAGGACCTCAAAAATTGCTGATCATACATTAGTATTTATGCTGAAAAGTCTTAAGGGAAAATTTAAACAACCGATTTGCTTTACATTCTGTCAGAGTACAACAAACAGTGTAGAATTAAAAAAAATAATCAAAGAAGTAATAGCACAAGTCAACAGCACTGGCTTAAAAATTGTGTCTACAATCTGTGACCAATCCCCAACAAATATGAAAGTTATAAAAAATCTTCTTAATGAAACAAAAGAAAAATACCTTCGTAATGGCACTGAATGGAAAAGTTTGGCTTTTGAAATTGATGACAGCAAAATGTTTTCAATTTTTGATCCTCCACATGTACTCAAGGGATTAAGAAACAACCTAATGACCAAAAATTTAAAATACACCCAAAACGGAGAAACAAAGGTTGCACAATGGAATCATTTACGAATGTTACTTGACATTGATGTGGGAGAAAATGACATTCGCTTGGTGAACAAATTAACGGAGATGCACGTCAATAAGGACAAAGTTCCTAAAATGAAAGTGAAATATGCAGCTCAAGTTTTCAGCCAACGGGTATCTGCAGCTTTACGTTTCTTAGCAAGTTTGTATTTTTATTTCTGTACTTAAATGATACCAGCGATTCCATCTGTGAGGATTTAGATTTTTAAAATTCAGAGAGCTCTCTGGTTTTCTGTCAAAAAAATTCTATCTGTTTACAGAACCTAAGCTATCTTTGTACCAAATTTCGCCAAAATCGTTCAATTGGATGGCCATGAAAATTTAACAGGCAGATATAAAGACACATTTATAATACTAGTATGGATATTAATCATCATCGTCATTACAGCCCTTCACAAGTAACAAAGTACGGTCTTAAGCTATCTGCATACATCGACTTCCTGTATGTCTTAGTAGGTCGTCACTCCAACTAGTTCGGGGCCGCTCTACATTTCCCCTACCAATACAAGGCTGCCACTCGAGAACCTTTCGTCCCCATCGGTCGTCGGTTCTTCGAGCTATATGACTGATTCATTGCCACTACAGCTTCACATTATAATAGGAAATAGTAAAAATCTTTAAATTTTTAATAATTAATAATGTTTTCTTTTTCAGATCATAATCTATTGCCAAAAGAATGTCTCGCAACTGCTGATCTGCTGCTACTAGTTGATAAGTTATTTGACTCTTTCAATGGTCATTGTTACCAAGACAGTGCAAAACTATACAAAGCAGCATTGAGAAAAAACTCGCTGCATTTTAAGCTCTGGGATGAAGCTTTACCTATACTGAACTCTATGGGTTATGAAGTAAATAAAGATGGGGCTACAAAATTTGTAAAGGTTCCATCAATTCAAAATTGGATACATAATATCCATGTAGTAAAAGAAATGTTTTCTTATTTAAACGCTAAACACAGTGTAAGCAGCTTATTAATAAGAAACCTGAACCAGGATCCACTGGAAAATTTCTTTTCCAGTATCAGGAGCAATGGGATTCGAAATGTATCACCAACATGCTGCCAATTTACTGGAGCATATAAAACTTTGTTAGTGAATAATTTAACTTCCCCTCATTCAATTAGTGCAAACTGTGAACGTGACAATAACAAAATATTAAAGCCACTAAAATGTTTAATTAATTCGCAAAAAATAGAAACAGGAGAGAAACCAGATGCAAATATAAATGTGGATTCTTTAATAAATTTGTTTGGACAAAACGAGAATTCAGAACCCATCAATTTAACTACTAAGGAAGCTAAACGTTATGTTGCTGGATATTTAGTGCATCAGTGTATAAAAAATATATGTAAAAATTGTAACGTGTGTAAAATGCAATTGTTAAGCACAACACCTCCGACCCAATATGATTATACTTTAGAAAGGGACTACAAAAAAGTCATGTAAATATCCATCAGAGGCGTTGTGTTCATTTACAGATGAAGTTTACCTTATAATCCAAACGCAATTGATTGAAGAACCGCAAATAAAGAATATTAAGGATACGATAATTCAGAAAACTAAAATATTTTGCAACTTTTCGTTCCTCTCCTGCGAAAATCATAATAAGAGGCTTTATGATTATTTGTTAATAGGCTGCTAAAGGGAAAATTATTAAGTACCGATTGTGAAAATGATAATGTTAAAGCTCAAGCTTTCAAATATTAAAAAATTCATAAAAGAAAATAAATAAATAATTAAAATTACTTTCCGTCTTTCATATTAATATTACAAAAATCTTTTGTGAAATAGGCTAAGTTTTATTAGTGTTAATGTTATCTACAAAATTACTATTTGGAGATTTAAGATAATTATTGTAGATATTCAATAATTATCTGGTAGAATGCATACATAAACATTGATAATAAAACTGCTTATTTCATAAATATCAATATAGTCATTGACAAAATACGCCATCTAGTGGTAACTACCGCAAGCCGCGATGTACTAAAAGAATACAGCGCCATCTAGCGAACACGGTACACTCAATCGAAAACTGAAATGTGAGTGGCGCATCTATTCCTGGTATATAGTTGTTTGTCTATGGCACCCATGGTCACGGGAAGGACTGAGATGTTCAACGTCCAGATGTCATAGTTAACCGCGGTTACCATAGATTAAAATTTAACTTTTATTCCGATCTACACAGTATGAACTTATGGTATCATTAAGTCTTGCAGTTGTATGCTTGGGTTGGGATTTAATTTTATTTATTATAGGATCCCAAGCAGTTGGTAGTACCCAGCCATCTTCTCTATTGAAATTAGGATGTTTTTTGATTTCAATAGCCCCGCGAATCATCCGTGGAAGAAATCGGTGTTCTTTAGCGAGGATGTGTGGTCTATCAAATCTGATGTAGTGACGGGGGCGATCCTGTACGTGTACACAGACTGCCGACTTTTTGGGAGATTTTGACGACAGCTCAACCCAGCGGACAGTTGATAACGAAAGCCTCTCACGTTCATAAGGCGCCCAAGCTAACAAATTAACTTGAGGTTTATATCAACATCAAAGCAGTTCGTTTTCTCTAACAGTTCACACGCGCAGACTTTTAATTCAAAATCTCATCTTTTTTACGAATTAAAATCCACTTCAAACCATTATTCAAGCGACAAAACAGGAGTAACAATCCGTCGGCGGCCAAGTTCCCGCCAAAACCTTTAAAATCACAGAGCACTATTACTCCAATCAGAGTAATAACGGAGATTAAAATCATAGATAAACAGATATATAGATTAAAATATGCGTAGTATCGTAGACAGAGAATGCTATAGACAAAGTGATATCTTTTATCGCAGTCACACAAGAGAAAGAGCAACTTACGCCGATGTCGTGTAAAGAAATGAGAAAGAACGATAAGATTTTTTGTTTCGCTGAGCGTGTCGCGTTTTTTAATATCCGCTCAAGCGTCCAGCCCTCGCGACTGATTTACCCTTGTACGTCCAGATACGCGCGGCCCTAATTCGGCTGCTACTGCGCTTGCATGTTGTGTAATAAAACCCACACAGCTACTTAACTATAATAGATAGAGTAGAGACAAAAACTATAGTATAGTTCATAAAAGATAGCTTGATCTCTGTGACAGCTGTCATTAAAATCACGCCTATGAAGTCCTGAATTTCTTAGTAGTACAGACACACAGATTACCTCCTAATAGATTCCGCATACAGGGCCACAAACGCGCGCAACACATACTTGCTGTAGCTAGCATACGAAGTGACGCTAAGAATCACGATATCATTGACGACCAAGTTTGTGACCCGTAGGCACGTCCGAGTTTTTGAAAATTTAAAAATAGCTTTTGTATCCAAAATACATTACAAATGGCTTCCTATGCAGTGAAATGGTGTGGCAAGTCAGCTAAGACATCCAGTTATCAAAAAGGTGGCATAATATTTCATCGGTAAGTAAATTTTATTCTTATCACGTTAACCTATTTCAAATACGCCGGAGTTCAACTTACACTGGATATTAAATGTTGCAAAGTGATATCATTTGAGCACCCGTTGATGTCTTTTTTAATATGTCCCTTTCACTCATTACGTAAATTAAAATAGTTGTCTTTGTCTAACGACAGCACGTGTATCGATAGTGTTGTGATTTATAAGTCGATATTTGTTTGGTCATCGTTTACTTTTCTTTTGTAGTCATTATTTTATACAAATAGTGGCGTATAATTGTGGTACCTATATGTTATAGGTTTCCTAAATGCCCCGAAAGGAAAAGATGTGGATCGACGCTACATGTCGAGGGGACCAATGGTTGCCCACCAAAAATAGTGTGCTATGCTCAAGACACTTCACGGAAGACAATCTTCATATTATGAAAAACCGTAGAAGGCTGGTGGATTCCGCTATACTATCTCTATACTTGCCAGTTTTAGTATGGAATTTTACATTTTTTAAAAAGTATAATACCAATGGTGAAAATTACACAATAAGTAATAGCATTAAGTGGTTAGTGGTGATATTCTAATATTTAATGAATTTACTGTTACTGTGAATTGAATGTTGAATGACACGTCGAAATTAACCTATTTTTAAAGGATTTATAAACCATAAAGCAAGTGAAAGTTATAATGTGATTAATGTTATTGGTTGCGCGGAAAACCATTCGCGTTTTTATTTTTGACGGTAGGAACTTGCCGAATCATTATTCCCTTTCCCAAACGATATCATTCGTACCCTCCTATCGACACATCGGGGTGATGGGGTGGGAGGGGAAAGAAGACGATTCTAGAACATCGCGTAATCATCGGACCCGAGGATATATAAGACACGCGCGACCGACGCGCGCTCTTCTTCCCGCCGCAGCCGTCGTTGAACTACAACGCTTCTCTCCTGACGCACCCCTGGGGCCCCAGAGTGTCCGTCCAGAGGAGGTTCCGGAAATCGCCGCTATAGTGCTCTAAAGTGTAATAAATAATGTTAATAATCATAATAAACCCTATTATTAATATATTATTGTTACACCGTAATTAAATATTGTAAACGGTTAATATATTTCACTACAATTGAAATGTCAGTATATGTAACTTAGAAGTATTGAAACTACTAAAATTAAGACACCCTTCCGCCTGGCAGCGGAAAGGGGACTATAAAACGGAACGACGGGCGTGTCCGAGGCAGAATATAATAGTATTTGCGCTGTAATAGTCGTGTCGGAGTGAACTAGTGAAAATTGAAAGTTTATAAAGTTGATTCATTTAGTGTTGAGAAAATAAAAGAGAATAAGTGTAAACTGTGTTTATTTTAACATAAAATATAGAGTTTTAACCGTGAACTGAAGTTTGTTTTAACAATATGGAGTAATAACCGTGTACTGAAGTTTGTTTTTACATCTCAGAAGTGGGATACCGTCCATAAAAGTGAGTAAGGATGTTTCTTTTGCACATATTAATGAAGATACCAGTGTATTTAATTACCCAGTTTGTTTACTGTATGTTTTTTTTTCTTTGAGTTTTGTTTACAAACTTATTCGCATTTTAAGTTTTTTTTTTAATTTTTTGCTAAACCTTAATTTAAAGTAATGTAATATTTACAGTATGATCAATACACTAAACGAGATTCATTGGGTTTTTTTTTCTTCGGTACCTTTTCTAAATACCCTTAGTATATACATTGCTACCCTCTCAGGGCTAACTATTAAAGATATTATTTAATAAAGGTTAAGTAGATATAGCTGCTAATACATTACATGCTTTAGTGTGATTTCTCACAGACTTTGCTTAAAGCTTTATGAATAGTGCGAAAGGAATAAGCTTACAGTAGATATATAAATGTAATATTAACACGTTCATTGTCAATTCTTACACTTGGATGTGCAAGTTTCAGATGCCACGTGATAAACGACTAAAGTCGCGACGGTCAAAGAAAAGGCGAGACAAACGACGAGACTTTAGCCCAACTCAGTCGCGTCACTCGCGGTCTAGATCACGACACCGAGCACGGTCCGGTTCTTCGCATCGTGCGCGGTCAGGGTCATTGTACCGTGCGCGGTCTAAGTCTCTGCTCCGCGTGCGGTCGAAATCGCCGAGGCGTGCGCGATCGAGGTCAGCATCACGGGTGGTTTCCCGGACGCCTCGAGCAAGCAGAACCGGGAGGAACTCAAGTAAGCAGAGTTT